CTCCTCCGGCTTGCACAGACGCCGCAGTTTCTACAGTTTCCCAAATTAATGTGAAACAGAGTGTAGTGGATTGCGTGCAGGCCTACCCTCTTTCACACTTGAAGAGGTGCAATGTTTTCAGGTGGCTGTAGGTAAACCTGGTATATGGAGAGGTTTATACGTTTCCCATCACACACAAAAGTAGTTCTTTTTTTTTCTCTTTTACTCGACTGCCAAATTAGCAGGAACAAAGAAAATTGGACATTATTTGTCGAGAAGAAGGAAGGTCGGTCTGGCAGCGCATGGTGACACTTTGTCACGCTCTATGTGAGAAATTTGACTAGTGCGGGTACAACCGATAGCCCAAGGTCTTTAAAATGATTCATATAGCAGTAATGCACGCCCATGTGTAGGTGCAGTGCTCATCCAGGTCAAAACGGGCAGGGGCGATCAGTGCAAGTTTTCGCTCCACACACTGCGAGCTGCAGTGGGCTAACACACTCTGCCACCAGGCCCCTCCACATCAGCACGTCCTGTCGAAGCAACGTGCAATTATTACTACTGCTGCTGATGGGGGCTCGCACACGTAAGGAAGGAAAATAACAGCCAGGAATTCTGGTAAGGGGAGGATGCCATACGTCATGGAACACAGGAACAGGCTTGGCTTGAATCCTTTTTGCTTCAGGATCACTATCACTACTCCAAGCTCACCACAGACTTTGCATTCATGGGAGCTTTCTCCAGCAACCGTTTCTTTTTATGAGACACTGCACCGCTTGCAGTGGCAGCTACTCTACGACACCTGCTCGCTGATTTACAGCTGCCCGGCCCGGTATGTGGAGTCACGATAACCTGTGGGTTGCACCTGTTGTGACTCTTCCTTGGCGGTTTCTTTAGCTTAGTTATTTTGCATGGCACCAAGGTTTAAGGTTCTCTAGGACTTCAGGGTCATGTGGTAACTGCATTTTCCAAAGTGTTTCTGACATTAAACAGCAAGCACCCTGGTTGTGCTTGTCACTATGCCACAGTCACCTGTGTGGTGCATGAAGCAGTGGTTTGAACCATTGAAGGGTGCACTGGTGTCTCTTAAGCTGTCCTGGGCACTCATCGGTAAGTAATATTTGTGCTGGTGATCCAATATTCAACGACAAACATTGCAGCAAGAAGTTACTTTTCAGTGTGCACACATTACTGTTGTACAGCCTAAAATATTTCAACGGTGAAGAATAGGAGAGTGACTTGCTTCAGGCTACTGGAACACGTTATTGCGTGGGCCTTTCTTTTATGGAGGGGAGGGGAGGCGAGAGCAGAAGAGTAGCAGAACCGGGCACAAATAAAAATTGAAAAAATCCGCAGCGGAAAAAAATAAATAAATTAAAGCAGTGTGAAGAGTTGCGTTGCTTACACGTCACAAACTCGTGTCAAAAACGCAGGCTATACTCTGTTTCACCTAGTGTTGTACCGCAGGAAAGGCTACAAGCGCGAGCTCCTTGCTCTAGAGCACAGCTCGACGGTACAAGTTCTCGTGCAACAAGGGCAGCTGCCAACGCTATGAGCTCGCGCTTCTGGCCTTCTCTGCGGTACAACATAAGGTGAAACTGAGTATAGACGGAGAACGACTCATTATTAATCCGAGACGGGGACACAAATAATAAAACGAAGAGACGCGCGTGTGGTTGCCCTTCACTTTTATTTTTTTATTTTCCCCTTGTTGTTCTTACTCCGCAAAGTCGACATAGTACGAGAAAACACGCAGAAGTAGGAGAGCAAAGAGGCTCCTCGGCGGGCTTTGCCGTCTCGCGCGGTTCTGGGGTATTCGTATTCGAGTTTGGATCATTGGTAAAATGTATGGGCTGCGCGGAACTGAGCGCTGCGTGACAACCATACGTGCGTTCATCGGTGGTTTTGTACGTCACCACCATCGGCAAAGTGGGCGACTGAGCACGTCTACCGGTGCAAGGCGAGCTTCGCGCGGATGATCACGGAGGATGATGATAAAAGCGGCCGACGCGATCGCGGGGTGAAACGGTCGACGGGACGATACGCATTCAACCGGAGTCTGGGTTGTTTAATGCACAAGCCCTAGCACGTCCACACACACACACGCACAAAGAAACATTACTTGTGAAACTGGAACGGAATTAACACAATACAATTTTCGCATAAAATGCACACAATCGCCGATGTCGTGTTCGCGTTGACAGCGCGGTTTGTCGGTCGTGGGAACAGCGCCGTCACTTTCGAATAGCCAACAAGATCCGACCCGACATGAAGAAGTCGAAAGCGCCATCCGCCGCCCTCGCGGCTCTCCGCCGTCACTCTAGCCGATGTATTTTTCTCCTAGCCGAGCTAAACCATTTGGCGTAGTCAAGCCAAGACGCCTTGAAGTTTACTTTTCGGCCGCTAACAGCGCTTGACGAGGTCGCCCGAGGTCCTATCACTCCCACCCCACCTGTCCCCTCCAACCCTTCCACACATTCCCGAGACCCGTCCGTTCCCCCTTCCTCTCTACCATAATGACCCGTCCGTTCCCCCTTCCTCTCTACCATAATGACCGCAGCCTTCTTAGCATACGGAGCGGACCACCCCACCCACCAAAAGCTCCCCACGTTATCGCTGCAATCAGCGTGAGACTCCCTCCCTCTCCCCCTCATTAGGGAGGGTCCCCGTTTTGAAGGCGGATTCCGGGCCGGATTCCGAAGTATACCCCTCGTTTTTTCAATCAGCTGCTTGAGTTGTTGGTGAAGGTCAAGCATTAAAAAAAATGAGCCATCCTACCTTAGCTTCTCAGTCTTCTCCTCAAATTGACAAACATCGCAACTTGCAAGTGTATGACCAGCCTTAAGGACTGTACCACAGCTCGGACACAGGTAGTGATACTTCACTAAGTTGTCTTTTTTTTTGGCCCACAGCTTCCGGAGCATGTATGCACTTGGTGGCACAACCGCGCAGCCGAACAAGTCATTAACTAATTTCAACAACTTGTCTAGTCCTGACCAGGTCGATCGTTCGGAGACTGCGTACGCCATAATCATTGCGATGGCACCAGCTTTTGTGGTAGTCGAATGGGGCAATGTGCACTCCCCGAACTCTTCAAAGCATAGAGTCAGGAGTTCTTCCACTGAACCTGGTCCCAACACTTCGTCGTCAACGTGTTCCGCTAGGTCTTCGCTTGACTCCGGTTCCGACACTTCGCCGTCCATGTGTACCACTAGGTCCTCGCTTGACTCCGGTCCCCGCACTCTGCCGTCAACGTGTTCTGATAGGTATTCGCTTGACTCCGGTCCCGACACTTCGTCGTGAACGTGTTCCACTAGGTCCTCGCTTAACTCCGGTCCCCGCACTTCGTCGTCAACATGTTCCGATAGGTAGTCGCTTGACTCTGATCCCGACAGCTCGTCGTCAACGTGTTCAGCGAATTCTTCGCTTGACTCCGGTCCCCGCACTTCGTCGTCAACATGTTCCGATAGGTCTTCGCTTGACAGATCTGATCCCGACAGCTCGTCGTCAACGTGTTCCGCGAAGTCTTCGCATGAGTCCGGTCCTGACACATCGTCGTCAACGTGTACCGCGAAGTATTCGACTGACTTCAGTTCTGCCCCCTCGTCACCAAGGCGTTCAACATTCCAAGAATTGTCATTTTCGTCGGTTGAGCTGATTTCCATGTTTGCTTCTCTTCCTTCAGACAAACATTCATCACGGCTCGGAAGCCCTCCGACAGCAGAACCGACGTCCAATCCTTGGTCATAGGCGCCTAAATTGGCACCACAACTGGTTGCAGTCAGCAAGCTACCTTCGCCGCAGTTCAAAGGTTTAGCGGTGTTAACGCACCCAGCTCCATGAGTCGCCTGGTAACGTAAAGTTGAAAGCGGTATGACGTACGGCTCATCTGCATTTAGATATCGCTTCCGTCGTTTGATTCTTGGTCCCGGAGTAGCCATGTCACGAATATATCCGACGTCAAACGTAGAATGTAAGAGACATTAGCCCTCGACACTAAATATGTTGTGCACGAAACAGCCGGAGCCCGTTACCGCCAAGAGCCCGATGCATTGGATTGGATGCTGACGGCTAAACAAAAATGAAACTCCGTGACACCTCGTACATTGTGCGACCGTGCCCCGGTAGTATATAATATTCGCTATGTAAAAAAAAAAAAAAAAAAAGAATAATAAGTTTGTGGTTGCCGTCTGAGCCAGGCGCGTCCCGGCAGTATCACCAAACAACGCACTGGTTTCGAACCATCTCCGCGTCGACCAGGAATAAGAGTCACCCACTTCGAGCTGGAAAAAAAACAACAGGAAAGGTCATTTGAACGCAAACTTTGTGTCAGGCGAAAAAGAAATAAGCCCGTAGCAGACGACGCATAGTCTCAACAGTGCTCCGCGCCGACAGCGGTGCGTCAAAAACCTTCCACAGCCAAAGTAAGGAAAGATGCTAACCCCGCAGAGGACTTCTTCCCTTGGACAAGTACGAGCGCACTTGCCGGAACGTCTTGTTTTGGTTTCGTTTCAATAATAACGACAGGTGGATGTCGCACTGTCGCCCCCATCTGTTGATAGATCCCAACAGTAGCTCAGTCTTGAATTTAAAAAGATTAATCCTCGAAATCGCAAAACTACTCAATGCTAAAAAAAAAAAAAAATATTCACGGTGCCATTTTATTTTATCCTCCATAAAAAATTACTCACCAATCTTTTTTTTTTTTTTTTGTGTGTTTATATTACCACGTTATTTGTTACTCTACTATTTCTTCGAAGTGTGGTTTAATGGAAATAGCAACACGGCGAAAAACAGATTTCGTAAAATCTACTGATTCTTGTGCAAATTTACTTTTTGGGGATCAATCTGCTGACTTTTTTTTTCTCCGTCTGGCAACACTGCGTCGTACTCACGTGGGTAAAGTGAACTGAAACACACGTGGTTTTTGTTGTTCTCTGGCGTGTTTTGGAGTTTTGTTGCCACGCAACGTTGGTATCACGCGTATACGGCTCTGGTATCTCGCAATAGATCCATGCGAAATGCATGCCTATGTTAAGTTCACTGATGGTGTGCATTTGATTTTGCCCACTTCCCTGGTAAAGAAATTCACGCCTCGCGATGCTGCCGACTTCGACGCGACCCGGCCGACCCGGCTGTACGAGGCCTACTGGGTTTCAGATTCCGGCGAAGGCGAAGATGAGGACTTCTACAACGCCAACGTTATCCTTCTGGGCGGTAAGTAATTTATTAGGGGTTAAAATAACCTTCCATGCTGTTGTGGGTTAAAAACATCATGCGAGTGCGAAAGCTAGTTTCAAGCCATAAGGCAGTTTTTTTTTTTCCTTCTGCTTTCTTTCTTCTCTTCTTTTCTTTTTTTTTTCTTCTTCTTTCTTTTTTTTTCTTTTTCAAAATTCAGGCGTGATCACATAGCAAAGACCAGTTTGGGCAGGAAGAGACTGGGGCAGTAACTCTTAACTGCTTTCCTTTCGATCAGTACGTGTGTAGAACCTATTATACTCATGTCACTAAAAGAAGGGTGCTATTTAAACGTGTTTTTTTGTTTTTTTTACAGAGAGTCTTGATGATCTTTTGAAGAAAATGCAGCTGAAGCGGTACCCGATTCCTAGGATTTTGGATGGTAGTGCAACGCAGAAGCAGCCTGCAAGAAAGGCAAGAATAATAGTTTTGCTCTGTAATTGCTCTTAAAGACCTAACAAAGATGCCATCTCCAAAGGATACCAAGAACATTTTAAGCTCATTGTGTCCTTAAAAAAAAATGGTTGAACACCACACACATGGACTAAATGCAAACGCGACCGGGAAAGGCAAATAAATACTGTTTGGAAAATATCTATTGTGCCAGGATAGGGCCAGCAGAACTTTGGAGAGGAAAGTGTTAAATACAGAGGTAGAAGAGGATACAAGAGACGTCTCTATTTCACTTTTTTCTGTCCATGCGCACCGCGAAATGTTTTTTGGGGCAGGCACGCAGTAAAAATCATAGCGCAGAACCAGTCCATACTGTAGCAAAAATCATAAAAATAGCAACTCTATTTTTTTCCCGGGTTAGGCCTAGCTGCTTCTCGGCGAGTATCCCGATAAAATAAGGAACTGAAATTACTTCTCATGCCCATTTTTCCAGTCGCTTTCACTGGTAGTGGAGGTTGTTCCGTAGTAATTTGTGCATGCAAAGCTTACTAGCTTACTTATCTTGTGAGTATGACACTGCTTGAGTAAATATTTGATATTTCTACTGTTTTCATTTAGCATGTCCAAGACCTTGGACGAAAGGAAAAAAAGAACCGGAAGGAGATTGGCAAGCGGTCAAGGCTTGATGACATCGCTGCAGATTTTAAGAAAAAGCAAAAGGTGCAGAATTATCAGACACCTAAATACTTTTGCATTCTGAAGTTATGATATTCCAACAGTGGCAATGTATTTTTACCCAGACCCAGGAGACGAGGGCAGCACCTCAAGAGGATAGGATCCTTCGACATCTCCTCCAGGAGAAAGAGGGCAAAATAAAAAGACTTCAGAAAGAGCTTGCCGAGGAACAGGCTCACAGCCGGAGGCTGGGTTTGGCCCTTGCAATGAAAATTGGTGTGCATGCTTCTCTTTCTTATTACGAACTGAGTCTTTTAAAAAAAAGGAGCTATTATAACCTGCATTGCCGTTCAATTTCTACTTGGTTTTTCAGAAGCTGCCTCAGAACCGCAATGGAGGAGGCCTGGTACTTCAAGCGAGGAGCATCTGTTGGCTGAACCACCGTCTTTTGAAGGCATTGAACTGCTCGGTAAGATTCTAGTGTACAAATTTATTTCATCTTTTGATCATGCTTATCCGTGCATCAAATTTTGTTTAGAAGACTCGCCAAGTCGTCTAGTAGAGGAGGTCCCCAAAAGTCCAGTGCCATCAACCTCGTACACAGGCAAGTTTTAAGCGTTTTAAGTTTGTGTTGAGCTTTTACCTGTTAAATGACTGTCAAATGTAATAACAGACAGTAAGATTATCCTGCCCAAAAACTGAGAAAAGTAAATCCGATTTTAATTCTGATACTCTCGAAAATACCTGCAAATTTCTGCAAGCCCAAATGCTGCGCTGGGCAGATGAATACACGGTGCCATTTGACAGAAGGCAACCCTCATGTAGTCACTGTAGTAAATAGAAACTTGTCATCTAGAGGAAGAGCTCATATGTTTGCTGCCTGACGTGGACCATAACTGTCCATCACTTACTGGCAAAGGAAGAAGACTGATTTATTCACAAAGAAAAACGAGAGCGAGTACAAAATGCTGGCATGACCGAGTTGAGGTGCCATATACTCGATTCACCCTTAAGCTGACAGTGCAGTGGAAGGTATGCACTGGATGTACCAATCGGAGCCAGCAACATGCAACATCAACGTGCGTTGTCATCGCGCCAGAGAGTGCGGTGACATCCCGCACAGCTGGCTCTGAATTTGGTCCATCCAGCACGTATCTTCTGCTGCAATGTCAGCTTATGGTGAACAGAGTATAGTCTGCAATACAACCGTAATTTTCCACCACGCCGTCCACATCGACGGTCACCACCGATGCCATGTTCGCAGATAGAAGGAGACCGGCATGCAACGCGCGCGACCAAGCTCTCCTTGACCTCTGATTGGTCCGTCGTTGCAGTCGTTCCCGAACGTAACGAGAAAGTTCAGCCCGGCTCAACTCCTTACGTTGCAAACGAACACGAACAAAACGACCGTTTGGCACTTCGTTGCTATGGTAACTTGTTGTTCCAACCGGTTGCGTTCGTTCGTAAGCGTAGTGGTCGCTCCGAACGCAACTGTCTGAACGGGCCTTCAATTGCATGTGCAAGTGACCCAAAGATTGAATTTTCTAAATCAACAGTAACCTTGAAGTTTGTTGATGGCAGTTGAATTAGGATCTAAGCAGTTTTCCTTTAAAGGGCTCCTCCAACGATATTTCTGCTTCTGCTTCTTTTTTTTTGCGCTCCCTGCCTTTGGTGGTTCGGGAAATTCGGGCAACAAAGACAAGACCGCAAAAAGGGATGGTGCATCATATTTTAATTTGACAAGGCGCAGAACAGTTGATAGATGGTGGCGCAGCAGGATGCTAAATGCGCGTGGCGGGTACGTTAAAAGAACTGGCTTCCTGATTGGCCAGGTCCACCAAAAGTTTCTTTCTGAGTGCGGAATAATAAGTGACTGTTCTTACCTCATAATTATTTATAAAAGTTATTTTTATTGAGCTCTGAGAGTTAAAATTTTAAGAACTAAATATAGTTTAATAAAGCACGAAAAGAAGAAACAACAACAGCAAGTTTTTTGTGATGTGCGCCGTCCCGTGGCATCCGTGTTGCGGAAACTGAAACCAAACTTTTAGACGACACAGTGTACTTGCAATAAAATGAAATACAATAAAATGCTTACATGCTCTCTCTTTTCGTGAGCTTTCACGAAACTCGGCTAGATGAGTGGGGACCCCAGTCACCCCCGCGGCGTGCAGGGGGCGACCTGGGTGACGGAGGGACGATGCACGAAGGCAAGCACGGAGAGGCGAGCTGAGCGCCGGGGATGTGTGCGCGGCTTTGGAGAGGCGGCCATTCTATTTGACACGCCAGCGGCTTAACGGCGAAGGAATGTTGTGCACCTGCGTAACCCCAGTCCAAGGCAACACTGTACCAAGGATAGCCGACGCTAGAGTCACTATACAGCTACGATGTGGATCTGGCTGTGGAGGGGTGACAGCATGTATCGCGCGTACCATTGGCAGCTCCATTTACGTCAGAGTGGTCTGCTTTTGTAAATTTTATTTGCTTATAACTTCCCAATTAAATTTTATTTTGGAAAGTGCTTTTTTTTTTTTGTTATTGCGTTGCTTGTTGTCACTAAGCACAAGTTTCAGACCAGTCAGAAAATGATCGGAGGGGCCCTTTAAAGGAAGAGTTTGCTTATGGCACTTCTTCCTTTTCGCTAGTTCTATACCAAAACCTACTCGAAACCTATCTTGAAATGTGCTCAAAACCTGTTCAGAGTTTACTTGACACCTATTGCGAAACTCGCCTTGAAACTGTGTGTTCACCAACCATGGGCTCTTTTGGAAAAAGAAGCTGGCCCCTGGTGAAATTCGAACTGTGCCAGTGCCGGTCAGTGCAGTTAAAAATCAATGCCTTCATCTACTCGGCCACTGTCACAAGTCTGGTAGGGTGTATGTAGATGGGCGTTATAAACCACACACCAGCACGTCTGTGGTAGCACATTGACACGCTGGTGAGATACTCCACGGTATTATTTCTTTTCAGGAAACCTTTCCGGAGCGGAAAAGTCTACTGACGAACCTTCACTGGGCCGAGCTCCTTTTCCGTCAGCTGACCAGCAACCAGGCAAGTACAGAAATGCTCAAAAGGGGCAGAAAGCAGATTTCTGATACAGTTTGTTTACGGTGGTGATTAACTCTACGGTCTGTAAGGATCCTAAAAATGCGCTCCCTGCCTGTGGTGGTTCGGGAGATTCGGGCAACAAAGACAGGACCGCAAAAAGGAATGGTGCATCATATTTTAATTTGACAAGGCGCAGAACACTTGATAGATGGTGGCGCCGCAGGGTGCTAAATGCGCGTGGCGGGTGACGTTAAAAGAACTGGCTTCCTGATTGGCCAGGTCCACCAAAAGTATCTTTCTGAGCACGGAATAATAAGTGACTGTTCTTTCCTCATAATTATTTATGAGAGTTAAATTTTTAAGAACTATATGTAGTTTAATAAAGCAGGAAAAGAAGAAACAACAAAAGCAAGTTTTTTGTGATTTGTGCCGCCCCGTGGCATCCCTGTCGCGGAAACTGAAACCAAACTTTTTCGACGACACATTGTACTTACAATAAAATAAAATACAATAAAATGCTAACATGCTCTCTCTTTTCGTGCACTTTCACGAAACTCGGCTAGATGAGTGGGGACCCCAGTCACCCCCGTGGCGTGCAGGGGTCGACCTGGGTAATGGAGGGACGATGCACGAATGCAAGCACGGAGAGGCGAGCTGAGCGCCGGCGATGTGTGCGCGGCTTTGGAGAGGCGGCCATTCTATTTGACACGCCAGCGGCTTAACGGCGAAGGAATGTTGTGCACCTGCGTAACCCCAGTCCAAGGCAACACTGTACCAAGGATAGCCGACGCTAGAGTCACTATACAGCTACGATGTGGATCTGGCTGTGGAGGGGTGACAGCATATATCGCGCGTACCATTGGCAGCTCCATTTACGTCAGAGTGGTCTGCTTTTGTAAATTTTATTTGCTTATAACTTCCCAACTAAATTTTATTTTGGAAAGCTTTTTTTTTTTTTTTTTTGTTATTGCGTTGTTTGTTGTCAATTAGCACAAGTTTCAGACCAATAAGAAAATGATTGGAGGGGCCCTTTAAAGTAAGAGTTTGCTTATGGCACTTCTTCCTTTTCGCCAATCCTATGTCAAAACCTACTCGAAACCTATCTTGAAATGTGCTCAAAACGTGTTCACAATTTACTTGACATCTATTGCGAAACTCGCCTTGAAACTGTGTGTTCATCAACCATGGGCTCTTTTGGAAAAACAAGCTGACCCCTGGTGAAATTCGAACCTGTGCCAGTGCCGGTCAGTGCAGTTAAAAATCAATGCCTTCGTCTACTCGGCCACTGTCACAAGTCTGGATGGGTGCATGTAGGTGGGCGTTATAAACCACACACCGGCACGTCTGTGGTAGCAGATTGACACGCTGGTGAGATACTTCACGGTATTATTTGTTTTCAGGAAACCTTTCCGGAGCGGAAAAGTCTACCGACCAACCTTCACTGGGCCGAGCTCCTTTACCGTCAGCTGACCAGCAACCGGGCAAGTACAGAAATGCTCAAAAGGGGCAGAAAGCAGATTTCTGATACAGTTTGTTTACGGTGGTAATTAACTTTACGGGCTGTAAGGATCCTAAAAATGCCAGAGTTGTGATCATGTGCACCATATTTTTGTGTTAAAACAGCAATTCAAAATGGCAGCCAGAATGACAAAGGGTGCCCATCAACAAACAGCAAGTGAAGGTTTCCCGCGCCCCTGACTGGCCGACCCGTAGGAAATTTCTTGAATGTGTCTGTGCATCGTAGCCCAAACCTTGTTTCTCAATGGCGAGTCTTTTGTCGCACCATTGTGCCATGGAACTATCAAATCTGTCGCCCCGCAAGCTCGAGAGACCGGAATGGACAGCAGACATGGGGGCCATATTGTACGATGCCATCCCGATGAGCGACATTGATGACGGTCATTGGAAGCGTTCGCTCTAGGAAGCATGCTAAGCGGATACAAGAAGGTGCAAAGAAAATGTATTTTACTGTTTTCAATACAATGATTACAGTACTGTTGCCCACACTGCGGAAAATGTGTTTCTCTCGAAGTATAATTTGAAACGAGCCTAAAAAGGTAAAATGATGTTTGCAATCTTTGCAAAATGTAGCATTTTCATTAGTCAACTTTTACCGGTGGACCAGGGTGTTTCCTTCGTAGAGAATAGTTTGAATTTATTTCTGTTGCAACGTGCTCGATATTTGGTTTTATAGTCTGAAACTTTTAATATGCACTAGCTGACACCTACTACACAATACAAAACCAAAACCAAGGTTCTTCAAAAACCTGGTTGCACCCTCCTTACCATTCTCTGATGTGGAAAGGGAGGGAGGCGCAGGTTGTGTCACAAGCTGCACCGGTGGATGTTGTGTAAGGGCAGGGAGGTTTACCATTTTTACTTAGTGTGAGCAATTTTCTTGGGGTTGAAGATTAGGAAAGGGACAGCGTGTATCACGTTTGGGTAAATTTCTGCCTGTAGTATACTTCTTTTCAGCGCAGGTTAGCAAAAGGCAAAAGTATTTTGCGATTCATTTGGAGCAACGCAGCAGATGTGTCAACTATCCACAAGGAAAAGTGCACTTTGACTGTGCATTGTCATGTTCTACGCTCATACATTCTAATTGGGGCCCATCTTTTTCACTTGCCAAGTTCGCTGAAACCAAGGAGGTTATAAATACTAGGAGGGGGCACGTTCCAATATGTGTGAAGCCTAGTCATAAACAGTTTAAACGATTTTGTGCCCAGCGTGACCGCAGATCTCTCTGGCGATTGGTGCGCATGACATGTCACGTGGGAGATGGATGGTTGATTGTAGGACTCCTTGCAGGCTTGCGCGCGCTCCGTCCGGTAGGTTTTATCAGATCGAAGGCTAGACTGTGATATATTCTAGTACCCCATAGCATGACGAAGGCTAGCTATGGTCACGTGATGTGGTCACGTTGGCATGGTAAGTGAGGAGAGTAAGGAGGAAAATGAGAAAGAGGCGAGGCGTCAAGGGAGCATGGCTTGTGGAGGCTACGCAGCCGACGTCATGCCCTCTCCTACCCTTCTATCCTCCTTGGCTGAAACAGAGTTTAGTCTGTTAATCATTTTAGTGGATTTCAAGAGCCATTCTTGGGAGCAAACCATCTCCTTGTCCCAAATATTTCTGATGAAATAAGCTCTACACCTGAGTGCAAGTCAAGATAATACTGCTGACATACTGTGTCTATTTTGGTGCAACATAAGAAAAGTACAAGCTTCGCCTTCAGCTCCTGATCGTTTCCTTCCGTCGTATGCGGCTGAGTGTTTGCTGAAGTGTTACTAAAGATAGAAAGGTTATGCTGGAGGCAAAGCTGTTACTATTTTTCTTCTGTGGCAACAGGGTATGGTATCGAATATTTAAGACAACCCTGAGACAGGGGGCACAGAAAGGGGACAGAACACGATCAAGTTTCTTGTGAGACTTCGTCGTGTTCTGTCCCCTTTTTGTGTCCCCTGTCTAAGGGTTGTCTTAAATCATGATTGTAAACCAGCTCGTTCTGTGTTTTGTCCCTTGTCCGTATCCCCAGTCTCGGGTTTACAACTATGCTAAACCAGCTCGGCTGCGCCTTATCACTCATTATAGTATCCAAATTGGTAAGGATTTCGAATCTAAGCAAAGATACTACCTTGCTTGCAGGATTCCTGCTGCCAGAGCCCGCTCTACCATGTGCAGGCCCTGCACCACCAGTGCTGATCAAAGGAGATGGAATGGTAAGTGACCAAAATTGCTTTGAAGGAACAATGAAGACGAATTAGGAACTTTGTTTGACGACTGAAATAGGCTTCATGTATAATCCAGGGAATGTTGACCAATTTTTGGCCCTAATCGTCGCCTGCGTGTCGCACAACTTAATAGACTGAGCTCACTAATCGTTGGCGCATGCATCACGCCACCATAACTGTAGTTCACTGGATGCTGATGGCAGTACACCAGACAGCTCGTGCTTTGCTCGCGTAGGCTAGGCTTGCAGCTGGCTTGTGGCACGTGCAAAAAGACTGCAGCTCCCAGGACACATTGCGGCAGCGGCGACCATATTTATGGTCATATTTACGGCCATATTTACTAGAGTCCTTCGTTACTTTCCTAGTCATGGAACTTCCCCGTAACACTATGGGAGCGCTTCGTGTGCTGCAAAGCGTGACTGTGCAGTGGCGCTAGCGTAGACAGTTCAGCATAACTGGACAGCAGATGGGCATTCAGTAAACGCAGTGGTTGGCCCCCCGGAGCCCACAATCAAGCCCCACGGCCGGTTCGCTCATCTTGCGGTTGCGGTTAAGAGGAATTTTTATGTCGCAATACCAGCTCCACGGGGACATGGAAGTACCTAGCGCCCCTGCCTGATGGCGCGAAAATCCGTGTCACTTCAAGCACTAAAGTTGGATTTCGCATGCACAAACTGACCGCAGAGGCTTGCAATTCGAGTCTAATTAAAAGCACCCTTGCACTTTAGGAGTGGCAGGTAAAGTTACGGCCGGGGAACACCAAGATGAGCCAAAATGATAGATAAATCACGCTATACAAAAGCAGAGACGGGACTTGGCGTGGAAGGCTTCGAATTGTGGCATGATAGGACTTCTATGTTATAAATTATATTTTACGCGTCTTACTTTTTAACTGTGATCCTTTTTTTAAAAATTGTGCTTGCTGTGTCTAAGTTTTTCTTTCTTGCTCAACTTATCTTTTATAAGTTAGTATTACAAAATGTTATTGTTATTATTATTTTAGTACTTAATTTTATTATATTGTTATTTTTATTATTACAATAAAATAATATTACAAAATATATATGTGTACATAATATTACAAAACTGTTGTCACAGCAAAATGTAGAAACTTTTATCGCATTTCACGCAAGTAAACGTTTAATCTTTTATCTGGGTTTTACAACTTTCTCATTGCAACTACAGCTGCTAGATTTTTTTTTTTTTTTTTTTTTGTGGATGTTTCAATTTTTGAGTTTACACAACTGCAGTGTCTGTTAGGGCCAAATATGCGCCTTCTGTTATTGAATGAGTCGTAGCAAGCACCTTGAATATTGAAAAAACGGATAGAATTGTAGTTGCTGGGGAAACAACGTTTGTTTCGACCCAGTTTGTATGAAAGTCATGCTAATGCCATTATGAAAGTCATGCTGATACCATTATCTTGGCTTCCTTTTAACAAACATGAAACCATGTTATCAGCGCAGTAACTTAGCTTGATCTTTTTTTTTCTTCAGGCTTGTCGATTTAACAGGTGATTCAAACAATAAAAAGTCTGTGGCACAGTCGTGCAAGTGGTAAAAAAAGCAAGACATGCGTAAAATATAAATCTGAAAAAAAAAAAAAAAAGGTGTTTAGTGTTGGCGCGATTTGAACCCAAAACTTTCACGCAGCGATGACAAGACTCAACACCGTTACCAGTCCGCCACGCAAGACGGCAGAACTTGCGCAGCTGGCGCAGACGTATATGTATAACACCACTGCTTTTGTCTTGCGTGATTTATCTTTTATTTTGGTGCATATTGACCTTTTCCGGCTGTAACTTTACCTGCCGCTTTTAAAGTTTAAGGGTGTGGTTAATTAGACTCGAATTGCAAGCCTCTGCGGTCAGTTTCTGCGAGCAAAGTCAAACTTTTGTGCTCGAAGCGACACGCATTTCTGTACCATTAGGCAGGGGCATAGGGTGCTACATAGTTCCATGTCCACAAGGAGCTGGTCACGTGACATAAAAATCCCTCTTGGCCACAGCTGCAAGATGAGCAAACCGGCCCAGGGGACTGATTTTTGTCATGGGTGGGAGAAAAGTCAGAGTCTGCTCTCGCTGAGGGATGCTAAAATACTGTTAGCAGACACGTCGTCCGGTAACGCAAGGGAAAAGTGTGGTTTGTCTGCTATGAGGCATCGACGCCATTGTGGGCCGTATGGTACTAATTATGTCCCACGGGCGGGTGGAGAGGTCGGGAAAAAAAAGTTAAACTGAGAACATCTACTATTTCCTGAAGGGCGCAGTTGATGACCTGTGCTTCATTTTGAAATGCGAATTCCATTCGTTCTCCTGTCGTACATAACCTGACATCCGCTGGTGAATAAATAAGAATTGGAAACAAGCACCTACCTCGCATGCGAGAGCTTTCCTCTTCCGTAAATAGGTGAGGACTTCTGACCTACTTAGGATTATGAAAGCTCTCGTATGCCAGGTAGGTGTTCATTTCAAATTCTTAATTATTCTCGGGTGGATGTTGGGTTACGTACGACAGGAGAACGTATCCAAATTTCTGAACGATGCACAGGTTGTCGATTGCGTCCTTCAGGAAATAGCGGAGGTTTCCAATTTAACTTTGTTTTCGATCTCCTCTATAATCTCACCACCTGCTAGCAAGTGGCATCTCTGTTCCGTCAGCAAATGACACCTCGTGGCAGACAAACCGCGCCTCTTTTGTAGCAGACGAACCCCGATCCGGCTGAGATCGTGCTCTCACCACTGACCAAAATCGGGCTCCATGATTAGAAAGTTTTAACATATTAGGTGACAGCGTCTCTAAATCGACTGGAACAGAAACTGCCAGTAAGCTTCACAGCCATTCTTTTTTTTTTTTCGGCATGTCAACAGATTTGCAGCTTTCAAATGCGAGGTTAGAATGCCAGAGTTTAAACGATACTGGATTATCTGAGACCTTAATTTTAAGCACAGTCACGAAGAATGAGCATCATGCTGCCGATTCAAGTACTTTGCGCAAAGGCAAGTGTGAAATTGTGGGTTGCGTGTGCGTAGTCGCGCACTGGAGACTTTGCGCGAAGATAAGCGTGAGTTTGCGGGTCGTGTGTGCGTAGTCGCGCACTGCATGACCAGGCATGAGTGGCATTTTCATTCGTAACTGCTGCATTTGTTAAAGCATATGGGTAAACCTGCAGTCCAGAGGAAGAGCAAGAAGACACGCGAGCAGAATACGCGCAGCACGGCCGACCTGAACACAGTCTTTCAGCACGAGAGCTGCCGCTCGAGTCCCGTAATGAAGTTTGAAATTGTGCAGTAGATTTTCAGTGAGCTTGCTGTTCTTAGATCCAAATAGGCAAGTAGCACCCTAAAAAACAGTCCGCTTGCTTTTTTTTTTTTTCTCGGTCACAGGTTTTTTTGTGAGTATACGTAAACGTCCACAATTACACCTTCAAAGAGGCATCTCCGCGTCAACACCGCTGGTTCCTCTCTTAAAGCTTGGCATTTTAGTGAAGGTATGTTTAAAGTATTCTCGTATGCAAGAAATTGTCAAGCAAACGGAGGATAGCAAGAGTATAGGTGGTTTGTCCTTACTTTCGACAGGAGCTTCTGTTCCTGTATCAAACTTCGGTGGAAGTTTCATGACCAAAAGCATTATTAAGGACTCTGGTTTCCCATTCAAAAGTAGTGTAAGGCTTCTTCCTCATTGATTTTCTCATTCTCGGCGTCCACGGTGGGTTCTTTGCTACCTACCAACACCACGAAGTCTTCGTTTGTTGGAGCACCGCACACCACCACAGTGCTGTCAACATCCACGTAGAGTTTGCACAGCCCCTTGAAGACCTAATACCCTTGAAAAAAGAATTTCAGTGCCCTTAATACTCCTGGAATTTATTTGCATTCATTGTATTTCTTAAACATAAACATGCAGGCGGGTCAGTTATTGTCATTATTTGAATATCGGGAAAACTTTGTTTCGGCTCTTTTCTTTAAAACTTGGGGCCAAGCAAACTCGTGACAATAAAATGGCGTGTGCACTTAACCCGCAACGGCACATGTTCTTGTTATATGGCAGTATCATTATGAAGTTCAACGTTGGGTTTGATAATGTGACTAAGACTCACTGTTTTGCCAAACTGTGGTAGTCTACTAGATGGAATGTTTTCCAGATTAGTAGATTATAGTGTTCACAAGGAAATTCTTATTGAATGCAGGTTCACCTTGGCAGTGGACTAAAAGTCCCCAAGCTTAAGCTTGATGATTTGGTATCGAAGCTACCGGAGCAACGCTTCGTAAAGGACCTTGGCAGTGGACTAAAAGTCCCCAAGCTTAAGCTTGATGATTTGGTATCGAAGCTACCGGAGCAACGCTTCGTAAAGGACCTTTCCCGGACAATCTACTCTACTGCTGAGCTCTGCGCTCGCAGCGTGACCGGAGAGCCGAGCCGGCGCTTTCTTAAAGAGGGCGCGAAAGGGAAGCTGCCGGTGACACCTGCAAAGATGATGGCCCTTGCAAGTAAGTGCATAGAGTGTCAAAATATATTAGAATGAAAAGGGGTCAACTTTCAACAAATAATGTAATAATGTAGAAAGTTGATAGAGTTGGTAAATGTCTTAAAAACAATGAGTTGAGAGATGTGCTGTCCTTGTTCAAGTCTTTTTTAAATTTAAACTATTTGGAAAACCAAAAATTTATGGAGGTTCACTTGGAAAACTAACAGGAATAATAAGGTTGAAGTATTAGACAACTAAATATTTAATAAATGAACTTGTGCTCACAAACAAAATAAAATTGGTGGCGACTAGCGTTGGCGGTGTCGATGTCAGCGTGACTGGTAAGACCTTACCATAACCCAAGACTATCTGCCTGCAGCCACCATGTGCTTCCTTTTACACACATTCGACAGCCAAGAACATTTCCTAGAATAGAAAAAACAAGCTTTCGTGGTTATATTTAACTGGGACATTCCAGACAACCAGAGGATAAAAAGAACTACCGGTGCCCAATATTGGGCCTCTGCCCAAGAGCTAAATGTGCTGCCATCTTGGCCATGCATGCTGCATTATGTTTTGTGAAAGCTTTGCAAATGCAATCCCTCTGCTTTTTTTTTTTGCTTAAAGGGCCCCTCCAACAATATAATTATGTTTCTGCTTTTTTTTGCGCTCCCTGCCTTTTCTGTGGTTCGGGGGATTTGGGGAACAAAGACAAAACTGCAAAAGAATGGTGCATCATATTTTCATTTGGCAAGGTGCGGAATGGTTGTATCGATGGTGGGCGCAGTGTGGTGCTAAACGTGCGTGGCAGATGACTTTAACGGAGCTGGCTTCCCGATTGGCCAGGTCCACCAATAGTTTGTTCCTGAGCACGGAATAATAAGTGTGAATGTTCTTACCTCCTAATTATTTATAAAAGTTGTTTTTATTGAGCTCTAAGACGAAGGAAAAAACTAAATGTACTTTAATAAAGCGCAAAAACAACAAAAACAAGCTCTTTGCGACATGTGAGCCGCCCTGCGGCATTCATGTCGCGGAAACTGAAACCAAACTAGCAGACGACGCATTGTACACACGTGCTCTCTCTTCTCATGCACCTTTACGAAACTCGACTCAGTGAGTGGGGACCCCGGTTGTTGCGGCATGCGGGGGGGCGACGATGAAGGGACGATGCACGGATGCAAGCACTGAGAGGCGAGCTGAGCGCCGGCGATGCGTACGCGGCTCTGAGAGGCGGCACGCCCACCGCCCAGCGGCTCTGCGGCAAAGAAACACAAGGCACCACTGTATCAAGGATAGCTGACGCTAGAGTCACTATAGAGCGACGATGTGGATCCGTCAGCGGAGGAGCCGCCGCGCGTTTTGCGCCTACCATTGGCATCTCCATTTACGTCACGCAGTGGCCCACTCCTGTAAATTTCGTTTGCTTATAGTGTCCCGAATAATTTTTATTTTGCAAAGCGGTTACCGTATTTACTCGAATATAACGCGCCCTCGATTGTAACGTGTACCCTTTTCTCGAGGTCCGAAAAAAGAAAAAACGCCATGACTTCGATTGTTACGCGCGCCAGATTTTGTAGGTTAAATACAGAAATTAAACTTTTTCTCACTTAGAACAAAGGTTTATTCCGAATTCTTGCCGGCAAGAGACAGCGCCGTTCATTTCATCGGCAAGGTCGTCATCATGGCGACGGTCTGGTGCAGCGCTCGTGGGACAGTACGCATCACTCGTCATTGTTGTCGGACAACTCCTTATCGCTGTCAACGGCCCAAAGCGTTTCATCTTCGGTGCCGTCCATAGCGTTAGGAATTCCGCACTTCTTGAAGGCCTTGATAACCATGGCAGACGGGATCGTGCACCATGCATCTTTCACCCATCGCACGTGATGCGGCCCAATTTCCATCGCTCTCTGCGTACACTATCCCTTTTCTTTTGAATCCAGCATCATGGTGAACGCGGTGGGTCTTTGCAGTGGGAACTTCCACGCTGATATGAAAGAAACACAGGAGCTGGCTACGCAGCTTCTTAGCGCGTAATGGGCGGCTATTTTGGAATATCGATGGCGATATGGTAGCGCAGTTTTGGTCGCACTCGTTTGTAGCGCACATGCGATTTTTGGACCTTAGTTAGATTCGAGTAAACACGGTAGTTTCTCAGTGTTATTGCGTTGCCTGCGGTCACTCTCGGCACAAGTTTCAGACCAGTCAAAAAATTATTGGAGAGGCCCTTTAAATCTCTGTATTCGGGAATGGATGGACACATTTCCAGGAATAGACGGAGACATATTCCCTGTAAATCAGCTCTTAAAATTATTAGTTACATGGTCATGGATGTTTTACAATCTGGATTTAAGTTGATTGGTGTCTTTGGCCAGATGTTTTGGTACTGCCAACCTAGGTTTATTATTGCCACTGTAGCCACTTGTGGAATGTTTTTGTTAAAATGTTTACCATATGATTTGTAGACTTGCACTGAGTTAATTTAAAAGGAAGTGAAGGATGTGCCCGTTCTGTCCTTCATCTTAATGTTCCTATTAATTCTTCCGTGGCATATTACCGTTAAGATTTCATCCATTAAAAAAGAAGCAATTTTTTTCAATGCTATGTATATATATAGTTAAGAGTTGAAAACCATATGCTTTGACCTTGATAGATCTACTTGTAAGTTTCAAATGATGTTACGCCCACACCAACCTGAATGTACCGATGACATTTTGACAATACTTGTCATGCATGGTCGCTCTCGAATTGCGCTTACCTATTGGTAGAAAGAAAAATTCTGTCTTTGTGTTTTGCATTTCTAGTGCTTCAAACAATTTACAGGGAATTAAGCCCTCCAGTTCCTTTAAATTATATATATTATGTTTGCGAAATTATAACAAAAAGAAAAAAAAAAAAGTTTTTCTTCCTTGCACAGCTGTTTAACGCAGATATATTTACAATTTCTCCAGGTGGCCTGATGTACTATGAGAGGGCAAAGAAGCCAGAGCCTGAACGTCGCCCGATCCTGGAGCTCCAGACGGTAGTCCGCGACATCCTAAAAGACTTCTTGCCTGATGTTGCGAGGCAGGGCAGAAGGAGGGTCGCTCCGAAAGAATAAAATGGCAGTGATTCCTTATACCGTTTCACGGTGGAATTATTTACTCAACGGCAAGTACATACTAGTTGAACCAGCGTGACAAGTTAATGTGACCAGTTGAACCACCATGACACGTTCAACCACCATGACCGGTTCAACCAGTATGACCAGTGTGACCAGTTCAACCACCATGACCAGTGTGACCAGTTCAACCACCATGACCAGTGTGACCAGTTCAACCAGTATGAAACTGGTCAAACTGGAGCAATATCCAAGTTTGAAACTGGTACCAGTTTGAACTGGTTGCCAGTTTAAACTGGTCCTTCCAATAGGGAGCTGTTAGAGATGCTGAGATCGAAGGAAAAAGTGGAATCCTGAAAGAATGGTACTGCCCGCGAACTTTTTTGAGACGATCCCATACTGCTTTAGCCGTGACAACACTATTTAAGGATGAAACATTCTTTGTCCAAGAAGCCCACTTTGCCCGTTTTCGCGTCCATCGAGCTTGTGCTCTTTTTTCCCTAAACTCGATCAAGTTACGGAAAGTTGGATACCGCCGAAAAGTTCCCCACGCCTTGTTCTGGCTTTTCCGAGTGGAAGTACATTCCTCATTCCACCAGGGCTTGCACCTCCGGGGAAGATTTCCTGAAGTCTGTGGAATTGAAGCGGAAGCAGCATTTATAATGCATTCTGTAATGTAAAGCGTCGCATCCTCGGGAGTCATATGAAGAAACAAGGAGGGATCAAGTGCTGCTTCTAAACCAAAAATAGACCAGACGGCCTTTTCCAACTTCCATCGCGGGAGTCGAGTTGGTATCAATGAAACTGGTAAAACGCTCTCTAAAATCATGGGTAGATGGTCGCTGCCAAAAGGGTTGTCTAAAACGTTCCATGAAAAGCATGGAAGTAGAGATGGTGATGATAGTGATAGGTCGATTGATGTAAAAGTGTTGTGGGCAGCACTAAAAAATGTAGGTTTTTTCTTATTCAGTAAGCAGATTCCAGTTGATAATAAAAGTCGTTCAACAACTCCACCTCGGGAGTCCTGACGAGAGCTTCCCCACAAAGGATGGTGGGCGTTAAAATCACCAAGGATTAAAAAAGGTTTGGGGAGTTGGTTGATGAGTGCTTGGAGTTCGTGAAGATGAAGCGGGACATTAGGTGGCAAGTAGAGTGGCACTAGAGTGTTGAGGCGGTCAAGAAGGATGCGAACTGCAACTGGCTCAAGTGAAGTTTGTAATGGAACTTTGGCACATGCCACTCCACTCTGAACCACCACTGCTACACCACCCGAAGGGCTTGAGGAATGGCGGTCCTTTCTAAAAACTTGATGATGACGCAAAACCTTTGTGTGCGAGTCAGTTAGGTAAGTCTCCTGTAGGCAAATAGCAACAGGGCGGAGCTCATCAAAAAATAAATTGATGTCATCTATGTTAAGTAGAAGGCCGCGACAGTTCCACTGCATAATCCCTATATTTTTAACCATTTAAAACACAATAAGTATGAAAAAACGGTTAAAGTGCAGGCGAGCTGGTGGATATTTACCATGATGGAACTTAACCCGAGACTGGGGTAGAAACAAACTTAAAAGTAGAAGGGACAGAGACAAGTGAAGAAGAGAACGTCTCAAGACGTTCTCTTCTTCACTTGTCTCTGTCCCTTCTACTTTTAAGTTTCTGTTTCTACCCCAGTCTCAAGACGTTCTCTTCTTCACTTGTCTCTGTCCCTTCTACTTTTAAGTTTCTGTTTCTACCCCAGTCTCGGGTTAAGTTCCATCACAATAAGTATAACATAAAAATTATATTAAAAAGCTATGTTCCTTAGGGTTTAAAATCTATTTTCATATGCGGTGCACTTTGTTTTTTAGAGGGGTTCTGCTTCCGATTAGAGTCGCCGGAGGCAGAAGGGGTGGACTCTGATCTTGAGAGGAGAGTCTCCTCATCAGATCTCGACCCACCCTCGTCCATGGGCTCGTCTGCAGCTGCCAACAGCTGGACCCTGGAGGTCGACTGCCTTGGCACCTCCCCAGGCTTCCTCTGGGGAGCAGAGGTGTGGGGAGGTAGGCCCCCGCCCCGAGAGGTCGAAGCGGCCGGTTGAGCAGGAGACGTCGTCCCCTGTTCTGGGGTGGATGCTGGCAAGGCCGCATTCACCTTGCGGTTCGGGGGCGGTGCCCCTGTCACCGCTCCCGGGGGTTTGGAGGGGGACCGTGATGGGAGATGCAGGTCGTCCGGAGACGTCTGCATTCCCATCGAAACCACTGGCCGCGCTGGTCCCTTGCGCACGGCCTCGGCATAAGAGCCTTTTGAGACAAAGGCAAAACGCTTCTTTGCCTCCACGTAGCTGATGTTTTCAGTAACTTTTAGTTTAAGGACTTCTTTCTCATCTTTCCACATAGGACATGATCGGGAGTATGCCGGGTGGTTGCCACTGCAGTTTGCACAATGAGGCTCATTATCGCACGCACCTGTGGCGTGCTCCTTGCTCGAGCACTTTGCACAGGTGTCCCTTCCTCGACAGTTCCTCGAACCATGGCCGAACCGCTGGCACTTAAAGCACCGCTGAGGGTTCGGCGCATAGGGTCGGACTCGGCACTGGAGGTATCCTGCCTTTATGGTCTCTGGTAGTGTGGTGGAATCGAATGTCAAGATAATATGTCTTGTCTTTCGTTCGACACCATCTCGGCGGAGGGTGATGCGGCGTGCACCTACAACCCCTTGGCTGGCGAGGCCCTCAACGAGCTCTTTCTCAGATGTTTCGAGCAAGTCGTTCTCAGAGATGACTCCCTGAATGGTGTTCAGCTTGCGGTGTGGCGTCACGCTAACCTTGTAATCTGAAACGGAGTTTAAGGCGAGAAGAGCGTCACTTCGCTGTTTTGTGTTTATCTCGACCAGAAGGTCGCCCGACGCCATCTTTTTGGCATTGAAGTTTGTACCAACAACACCTTCAAGGACTTTAGAAACAAGGAAGGGAGAAAGCTTGGCAAGTGGCTTTTCCGCCTCAGAATGGAGGACAAGAAACTTCGGAAATTTAAAAAGCTCAGGGGACTTTATGGGATGGTAATGGACTTCGGTGCGGGCCCTTTTCAGGGCCCGATCAGGTTTTTGGTTTTGTTTGGAACCCATTATAAATGAGGAGGCGTTCGGTGTCTGTAGCGCACCACCCACCACGGAGCCCAACATGGGGATAGGTAATGCGCCATAGCAATAAAGGTTTTGCTGACGACATTACGCTATCAGTGCTATCAAGACACTATAACCTAGTGCGGGTCTAGACAAGGGGTCTATCGCCACCCAAGGTTAGCCCTTGCCGCCAAAGATGGTGAATATGAAAGAAAGAAGAGCAGAGAAAAGAGAAAGATAAGAGGGGATAGTAGAAGATGTGGCGACTGACTGAATCATCCTGGTCGGGCCAAGCCAGGACACGCGTCTACAGGAAGCAGGGGCCAAAGTGGTGTGTTGCCTCGCCCGGGGGGCCCCGAAGGGTCCAAACCTACCCCAGGCTCAGCTCAACCACCAGGATGCCCTTTTCCCTGGACACGGGCTCGCCACGCACAGCCAGACGTGGGTGGGTCTTAGCCACTTTTTATTCAGGGTCTGTGGTGTCGCTAAAGTGGCTGGGGTCCGTGGTGACGCTACTCACCAAGCACCTAGCACCTTAGGTGCAGGCGCCCCCTGCGGAGCTCGGGGTCCGTGGAGACGCCACTCTCCACACACCTGCTTTCACAGGTGCCCCCTGCGGGGGGGTCGCGCCCCCCCCCCCCCCCCCCCCAAAAAAAAAAACAAGTTCCTTAAAAAAGATTATCTACTCAAGATCACTGTGGAGTCTGGGGCTTCAGCTATTGCTAACAGCTTCATCGAAAGCCCCACCGCGACTTCACACGCATTAATCACTGCACTACAGAGCCCACTTCATAAGACCACCAGGAAGGAAGAACTTAAAGGTACCGTTTTCGCATTTGCAGGAGAGGTAGAAAGCCTTAAAATACAGTGCAAAATCCTCGAAGGAGAAAAGAAGAGAATTTCTTCGTCGTTCCTCCAGCATCAGGCATATTTAAACGAAGCCAGAAAGTCGGCGAAGGTTGTAAAACAATCGACATAAAAAAGTTGAAGCGGGCAGCCGACGGAACTGATGTCACGTAATACATCTTACTGACAAGTTTCTGTCTTAATCTGGAAGAAGTGGTCGTAAAAGACCTGATTGATTGATTGATTGGGGTTTAATGGCGCAGCAGCGACCAAGGCTATAATGCGCCAACAACTAGGACTATTGCTGAAATCAAGGTTAAAGAGAAGAAAGAGCTATAGTAGCTTGTAATTTAATAAAACAATGATCATGAAAGTACAAGCGCATAAGATGTGGCAATGAATACGATGAACTATTAAAATTATAGCTGGTCCAGGAGTCTTATATCCTTAAGAAAGTTGAAAACACACTTGTGTGGAATCAACGGCTCATCGCTGAGTAAAAGGGCGAGATGTAATGGTGCATGCTCTTGGTAAACCTTAGCAAAGTGTCTGTGGCGTTCTTGGTCATACAAAGGGCATACAAGTAAGATATGTAGGATGCTTAACGGAATGCAGCAGTGTTCACACTCCGGAGCATCCTCCCCACGCAAAAGATGCCCATGGGTAAGACGGGTATGACCAATTCGCAGTCGGCACAAAACCACCTCATAAAAACGCTCGCGGTGTCGTGCACTCTCCCATTCCTGAAGTAGTGGTTTTACTGCACGCAACTTATTGTTTATTTCTCGGTCCCATTCCTCTTGCCACTTGCGTCTTATGGAAAATTTCAGAACATGCCTATAGTCTCTGTAAGGTATTTTCCACAGGTCGACTTCTCGATCCTTAGCAGTACTTGCTGCTCTGTCAGCATCCTCATTTCCGGCAATTCCGACATGTGAAGGAACCCAGCATAGTATTATTTTCTTCTTCCGTTTTGCGGCTGAAATTAGCCTGTTTCTTATTTCTATTACAAGTGGATTGCGATCATTTCCCACTCTGGCAAGAGCTCGTAAAGCACTAAGTGAGTCGGTGTAA